CCGAGGCCCGGGCGCCAATGGCGGCGGCGGCGCTGCGGGGCAATGGCGGCCGCAGCCGGAACCTCTTCATCAGGTGGGTGGGGCAGGAGGGGAAGGTGAAAAGCGGCGCGCAGCGACGCGGGGTCAGCCAATAGGAAGGCGCGGATGCGCGGGGTCAGCCAATAGGAAGGCGCGGATGCGCGGGGTCAGCCAATAGGAAGGCGCGGATGCGCGGGGCTCAGCCAATGAGAGCGCTCGGAGGGCGCAGGCGCGGAGCGGGCTTGGTGCCGCACTGAGGGAGGTGCGCGAGGGACCGGCGGAGCTCGGACGGGGCTCGGGTGAGGCTGAGCGGGCTCCAAATGGGGCGGGAGGGGCTGGGGGTGGAACTCGGGCTTGGAAATGGGGTTGAGGGGTCACAAATTTGGGCTCCGTGCCGGGAATGGGGGGCTCCGATCCATGACCGGGACCGGGAGGGTCTCGAACCGGGGCCGGTGGGCCCGGGCTGGGTTTGGTGTCGGGACCGGTGGGGCTCGGATGGGGCTGAGGGGGCTCCAAATGGGGCGGGAGGGGATGGAGGTGGAGCTCGGGGTTGGAAATGGGGCTGAGGGGTCACGGGTTGGGGTTTGGGGGGCTCCGATCCGGGACCGGGACCGGGGGGGGTCTCGAATCGGGGTCTGGCGGGGCCGGCCGGGCCCGGGCTCGGTTTGGTGTCGGGGCCGGGGGGCGCTCGGGTGAGGTAGAGCGGGCTCGGAATGGGGCTGGAGGGGTTTGGGATTGGAAATGGGGTTGAGGGGTCACAAATTTGGGCTCCGTGCCGGGAATGGGGGGCTCCGATCCATGACCGGGACCGGGAGGGTCTCGAACCGGGGCCGGTGGGCCCGGGCTGGGTTTGGTGTCGGGACCGGTGGGGCTCAGATGGGGCTGAGGGGGCTCCAGATGGGGCTGAGGGGTCTCGGGTTGGGGTTTGGGGGGCTCCGATCCATGACCGGGGTCAGGGCGGTCTCGAACCGGGGTCCGGTGGGCCCGGGCTGGGTTTGGTGTCGGGGCCGGGACTCGAACCCGGGGCTGGGGAGGCGCCGGACCGGGCACCGCCATCGGCTCCGGGCCGGGAATGGGGATTGGGAAAACTGGGAATGGGGAGTGGGAGAACTGGGAGCTGGGAATGGAAATTGGGAGAACTGGGAACTGGGAATGGGGATTGGGAGAACTGGGAATGGGGAGTGGGAGAACTGGGAGCTGGGAATGGAAATTGGGAGAACTGGGAACTGGGAATGGGGATTGGGAGAACTGGGAATGGGGACTGGGAGAACTGAGAGCTGGGAATGGGGATTGGGAATCTTCAGGAATTCCATCCTGGGCTGGGAGCGAGGGAAGGCTGGAAGAGGCCTCGGAAGCCGAGCCAGGATTTGGATATTGGGATTTGGAATTTAGGGATAGGGAAGGGATGAGCTGGGAGGGGATCGGGATAATCCAAGAAATTGATGGATAACGGTGAATTTGTGGGAATGGGGACTCTTGAGGGAGTTGGGAATGTTGATCCCAGAGAAAAGAGGGAGGTCCCTGACAGGAGGGGAATTCAGGATCTGCTCCCAGGGAACGGGGACAGGAGGAGAGGAAAATTGAGGTTGGATTTTGGGAAAATTCCTTCCTGGAAGGAGCTGCCCAGGGAGGTTTGGAATCCCCATCCCTGGAAGTGTCCAAGGAATTCCTGGAGGTGGTTCTGGGATTGGGGACGGGGTGGATCCGATGGCCTCGGAGAGCTTTTCCACGCTCAACAATTCTGGAATTCCGTGGGAAGAGAGGAAAGTTCTGGAGCAAAGGAGCCAGAGAGGGGTTTGGGGTTTGTCCTGTGGCTTTGCCAAGTGGGATTGGGAAAAATGAGGAATTTTCTGGGATTAGGGAAAGATCCTTTGAGTGCCTGAAGGGAGAGGGATTTGGGATAAGGGATGGAAGGACGGGACACAGGGAATGGGTCTCACTGCTTGGACGGAAAATCGGGAATTCCTGGCTGGGATGGAATTCCCAGAGAAGCCCCTGGATCCCTGGAATGTCCAAGGCCAGGCTGGATGGGGCTTGGAGCAGCCTGGGATAGTACAGAGCAGGAATTCCCAGGATTTCCTCAGGCATTCCCAGGATTTCCATGGAGATTCCCAGGATTCTGTCAAGGATTCCTGGTATTTCCTCTTTGGCAAAACAGGAATTCCTGGGATTTTGTCAGGGATTCCTGGGATTTTTGTCAGGGATTCCCGGGATTCCCTCAGTACCTTTGGTGGAACAGAGATTCCCAGGATTTTGTCTGGGATTCCCAGGATTTTCGCAGCACCTCTGGCAGAACAGGAATTCCCAGGATTTCCTCTGTAGCAGAATAGGAATTCCCAGGATTCCCCTTGGACAGAACAGGAATTCTCGGGATTCTCTCCATACCTCTGGCAGGACAGGAATTCCTGGGATTTCCTCATACTGGAATACTGAGATTTCCTGGAGAATACCGGGAATTCCTGAGGAATATTGGGAATTCCCAGAGAATACTGGGAATTCCTGGGGAATATTGGGATTTCCTGGAGAATATTGGGAATTCCTGAGGAATATTGGGAATTCCCAGGGAATATTGGGAATTCCTGGGGAATACTGACCATTCCTGAGGAATATTAGGAATTCCTGGAGAATTCCTGGAATACGTGCCTGGAAGCTGAGCTGCCAGAGGGGAAGGGGAGGGAGCAGGGATTTAGAACGAGGAACGAGCTGGAATTTTGGGATTTCCTGGATTTTCCTCAGCACCCACCAATCTCTGGGAAGCCAAGGATGAGCTGGGAATGGGAATATTCCAGGATATTCATGGAATTATCAGGAAAACGCACAGCCAGTGATGTCACTGGGCTTTTCCAGAGGAAATCTTGAATTTTGGGATTTTCCTCCATCTCTGCTGCTCTGTGACAATCCGAGACGAGCTGCGAATATTCCAGGATATTCATGGAATTACCGGCTGACCACATTGATGGGGTTTTCCATAGGAAGCATCCCCACGATTAGAAACAGCTCCCAATTTTTTTAGCTATCCCAAAAAAACCCGTTCATTAAGAATTCCCATTTTTCCTTTTCCCACGGATTCCAGTTGCTCCCGCTGGATCCGAGAGCGTTTCCCGGGACGAGGAAACCGGGAAGAGCGAGCGGATGAGCGAGGACATCCGGATCCATTCGTGGCCTTGCTCCTATTACCTGGACAGCGGCAAACAATGGATTCCCGGGAAGCTCTCCCTGACTCCCGTTTCCATCCGATTCACGGCTGACAAAAGCGGGGAGCTCCTGGTGGATTTCCGACTTTCCGGGATCAGCGAAATCAAGAAGGAATTTTCCCATTTCGTCTTCAGCTCCTTGACGATCCTGGAGAAGAGCAGCAAGCACTGGTTCAGTTCCCTGCATCCCAACAGGAATGTGGTTTTCAATATCCTGGAGCATTTCTGGAGGGAGCAGCTGCTCTCCGAGGCCGGGGCGGGAGCGGCGTTGGAATACGGCAAAGGGAAGGAATTAACGGGAATGTTGGAGGGATCCCAGAAACGCCTGCAGGACACGGCCCAGGTGCTGCATTCCCAAGGGGAACAGTTCAATTCCATCATGAGGGGACTCCACAAAATCGAGGGGGACATGGATGTGGCCGACAGGTACGGAATGGGAACGTTCCCGGAGCTGGAATTTCTTGGGGAGGTCTTTGGGAAGTGAAAATTGTGGATTTTTGGGTTTTTCATCGGAGGGATAGAGCAGCTCCGGGAGGAAAGGCTGAGGGATTTGGGAATGTTCATGGAAAAGCTCCAGGGAGAGCTCAGAAGCCCTTCCAAGGCCTGGAGAGGGATTTGGGATAAGGGACAGGATCCAGGGAATGGCTTCCCGCTGGTTGGATGGGATTTTGGGAAGGAATTCCTGGCTGGGACATGAGGGCTGGAATTCCCAGAGCAGCTGGGGATGCCTCTGGATCCCTGGCAGTGCCCAAGGCCAGGCTGGGAATTCCCTGCCATGGAATGGGATAATCCTTAGGATCCCTCCCAATCCAGGCCTTCTGTGCCCACGGGCTGGAAATGTTGGGAATTCAGCTGTGGGAATTTGGGAGCGCCGCCATCTCCTCTTCCCGCAGTGCCCGGCTCCGTGGGAATAAAACTTGGGATAACTGGAGCTGAGCCCATCCCTGCTGCCATTCCTGGGAAATTCCTGGCGCCGCTTGCTGCTTCCCGCCTTTTTCCTTCCCACCTTTTCTTTTTCCTTCCTGCCCTTTTTCCTTCCCGCCCTTTTTCCTTTCCTGCCTTTTTCCTTTCCTGCCTTTTTT